CCACAGGTGGGTGAAGGGTCGACCAGGGTCTGTCCAGGAGGTTTCTAGATCTTTGGGTGTGATGGGAGAGAGCAGAGCAGACGGGTACAGGCTGGTGGAGTGGGGTGTGTCCTGGAGTCCTAGAGGTGAGCCGGTAGAGAATCGGTGGAGGGACCAAAAAGAAAGGCATCAGCAGGGAGCAGTGCCCCTCGGGATGGCGGAGCCTTTGCCACATCACAGAAGTGGGGAGAGAGGCTAGGACTGGCCACTGGGGCTCAGGAGACAGAATCTCACTTCTGCCACCACCTTGTCACTGAGTGGTCCTCATGACACAGCCAACATGCATATGCCTTGAGTCCCGAGAACATTATGGGTGTGGGGTGATTTTTTTCAGTGGTCAAAGCCCCCTTTCTTAGTTCTGAACCTGCGGCCTTAAGGCATGTCCAGGGGCCCAGGGCAGGAGATGGCGGTAGGTGGAGAGCTGAGGTTCGCTGTCTCATCTGTCAACCCCGATCTCCCTGTCGTCGCCTCTCTGCCTCCTGCAGTGACTGCACTTCTCTTCAAGATGGAAGAGGCCAATCTGGCAAGCAGAGCAAAGGCCCAGGAGCTGATCCAGGCCACCAACCAGGTGGGCTCCCCAGGGGAGGAGTCCCCACTTCTCTTGTTCTTTGCCTTGGGTTAGGAGAGGAACCACAACCCTCCGCAGGCTTTAGGGTATTGGCCAGAAGTGGAGCTTGTTGTCCTTGGGAATATTGGGAAATCAGGGTGGGAATACTAGGGGTTCACAATCCCTCCTTCCTCCACCTCTCTTTGTTTATTCTCCAACCTCTTCCACAGATCCTCAGCCACCGAAAGCCACCCTCCAGTCTAGGGGTGACACCAGCTCCTGTGCCCACCTCTCTGGGTCTGCCCCCTGGCCCCTCCAGCTACCTGCTCCCTGGCAGCCTTCCCCTCGGGGGCTGCGGCTCTACCCCTCCCACGCCTACTGGGCTGGCTGCAGCATCTGACAAGAGAGAGGGCAGCAGCAGCTCCGAGGGACGAGGGGACACAGATAAGGTGAGCTGGGCTTGGGAGAGGTGGGTTGATGGTGACAGTCTGGCAGAGAACTGAGATGTAGGGGCCCAAGGAGAATGGCAGGCTGATGCCAACAGATGGGGCTTTAGATAAAAAACTGAAATCGTTGAATTGTAAGGATCTAAACTTACTCTAATGGATGAATAAGAAATGAGTGCTGGGCAGATTTTTAAGTTGTGTGTGTGTGTATGCACACGCACATACATAGAGAGATATGAAGATACAAACACATTTACATATACCCACTATACTAAAGTCTACCCATATCGCTCCCTCCCTCTTTCCCCATCTTTTTGTGTAAGGGGAATGATGGTTGACAAAAATTAAGCATTTTCTAGATGAGAGGAGGAAGAATGGGGGCTGGGCAAATACACACAGGTTTTTATTCCATTACATCTGGCTCCTCCTCCCGGACCTTGGGCTGTTATCTTTTTTGGTCAGTTCAGGATGCTGGGGTTTTTTTATTTTTTCTTTATTGATTTTAGAGAGAGGAAGGGAGAGAAAGAGAGAGAAACATCAATGAGAGAGAACATTGATTGGCTACCTCCTGCATGCCCCCCACTGGGGATTTGACCCACAACCTGGGCATATGCCCTGACCAGGAATCGAACCAGCGACCTCTTGGTGCATGGGTCAATGCTCAACCACTGAGCCACACCGGCTGGGCTTACCCGTTATTTATATACTTTATGTACAGTGCCAGAGAGAATAATGAACCCCCTAAAAGCCCCTTATGAGAGACAGTGGCAGGGGCACAGCTTTGGTGGTCACTGGTGCATGACACGTGCCATGGGCTGCAGGACAGGGACAGTGTGGACTTTGTGACCAGCAGCAGGCCTGTTGCTCTGCCCAGTGAAGTTTCCCTGGCCTGTTCTTTGCCAGTTGTCTTCCCTGGCCACATCTGAGGTGGCTGTGGGGAACAGCTCCCTTTCTCTTTAGAAACCCACTTCTTGTTGGGTTAGGAGGCCTGAGGACACTCCCCCGTGGCCGTGGCTCTCTTAGCAGCAGTGCTGCCCAGACAACCCAGGAGTTCAGCAGGCAGTTTGCATTCTTATCATCTCGTCCGAGGTGCTGGCCCTGAAGTTTGGACTGTCCTGCCCTTGCCTGGCCTGTTTACTGTTTCCATCTGCCCTCAGCCCTGGCCCGAGAAGGCGACCTCCCCAGGATTGGTTCTTAGGGTGACTGTCCCTTGTGCCTGGGGGGAGTCTGCGACAGACTGACTCTGGTTTGAATGCACTCTCCTGCTGGAGATGTCCTATCAGCTTTTGCAAAGATCTCACTTGAGGTTGAGGCAGGGGTCAGGGGTATCTCAGCTGTTTCCTGGCCTGTCCCCATAGCCATCACCCTCAGAACAGCCATCCATCCCCTTGATTGGCTCCTTGCTGTGGCCTCCACGTTTGTTGCCTCAGCCATCCCCATGCGTACTCTCCACATTTTACACATGAACTACAACGGGGTTTGAACCACGATTTAGCACAAACATGGCAGCTCACCTCCCACCCCACCCCTGTGCTCCTAGCCAGTCCCACACCCCGTGTCCCTTAGTCCGGCTGTCCACTCAGGAGCCAGGACAGGGTTTCCGATCCCACGCTGGGTCTTATCACTCCCCCGCTGAGCAGCCTTGCCCTAATTTCCCGCTGCGACCAGAGCAAGTCTTGTGGAGTTTCATTAAAACAGTCGTGACTTCTTGGCTAACCTTGTCACCCCACTAGACTGTGAACTTTGTACGGGCAGGGAACACATGTGTCCTAGTCGTGGCCACCTGGGATGGCCAGAGTCCAGCCTAGAGGACATGCTCAGTGACATTCCAAGGCCCAGGCCTGGCCTGTGGTCCAGGGTGACAGCAGCATGGGGAGCACAGGCAGACCCTAAGCAGGACTTCCACCTCCAGGAGTAGCTGGATGGTCAAGGAGGCTGAGCTGGCAGGCAGGTGAGTGGAGGCAGGGGTTCCGCAGAAGCTCACCTGGCCTTTGCTGTCCCTTTTCCCCACCCTGTCATCACCCGCCAGTACCTAAAGAAGCTGCACACACAGGAGCGGGCGGTGGAGGAGGTGAAGCTGGCCATCAAACCGTACTATCAGAAGAAAGACATCACCAAGGAGGAGTACAAGGACATCCTAAGGAAGGCTGTCCACAAGGTGGGCCCAGAGGGTGCAGATACAGAGGTGGGTGGAGGATGTGATAGAGACAGATGTGTGCAAATGGGGAGACTGAGGATGGTGGGTCAATCTGGAAGGTGAGGAGGGTCACAATAAGATTTCCTCAAGCCCACCTGGGCCTGTTCTGCTGCCATCATAAGTAGGGACGTTGGCTTCAACACTGGGGGAGTGACTCCTAGCCTAGTCCTGAGCTGTGCTCAGCAGTCCCAGTGGACAGGTCATAGTGGTGACCACAGCTGTCCCCTGCTCCCCAGATCTGCCACAGCAAAAGCGGGGAGATCAACCCGGTGAAGGTGAGCAACTTGGTGCGGGCCTACGTCCAGCGCTACCGCTACTTCCGCAAGCACGGCCGCAAGCCAGGGGACCCCCCAGGGCCCCCACGGCCACCCAAGGAGCCAGGGCCCCCTGACAAGGGTGGCCCAGGCCTGGGCCTGCCCCTGCCCCCGCTCTGAGACCCCCAGTCCCCGTTTCCCTCCTTTGCTTCTTCAGAATTCTGGACGTATTTATGGCTCCACCTCCCCACTTCCCTCCCCCTGTCAGTGGGATGATTGGGGGAGGGTTGCTGTGGGGAAGAGGAGAGCCCCCTGCCCAGCCCTGTGCCCATCTCCCTTGTCCCCAAACCTGTCCCTTCCCTCTGTTCATGTCCCCCAGTTTCATTAAAGATTTCATGAAATGTTACCCCTGAGCTCCATGATTTTAGCCCTTTCTTTTCAGAGTCCAATTTGGAAAAGAGTTGAGGAGGAACATGCAGGAGGTTTGGCCCAAGTCTAGGGTGGTTAGCAGAGAGACCAGACTGTGTGGCTTGGAGCAAGTACCTTCCTCTCTCCGGGCCTCAGTTTCCTTATCTATAAAGTGGGTGTTGTGAAGATTAAGTGAGACCCAGGCAAGTGAAGCACTTAGAACCCCACTCGGTACAATAGCCGTTGCTATTGACAGAGTAGTGGCAATGGGACAGAGGGGTGCCAGGCACACTTGGCCAGTGTCTTCCAAGCTCAGGGCACTAGGTGCTACATGTGTGCCTTGGAAGCGCCCATTCCCCATTTAGCTGGATTGTGTTTTTAGCAGTCCTGAGGTGGGGATGATCGAATCCACCCTCCTAAGATGGAGAGGAAAACTCAGTAAGGGCCACATGGTGCGTCAGGGCAGTGCTGACCTGGGTCAGTCCTGTAGCCCAGAGGCCAGGCACGGTGAGGGAAGGCGGTGTTGTTGGGTTGCCAGAGCATGTGGACTCCAGGGGTGGGGCACAGAGCTCCTGTACAGCTCCCCATCCCAGCCCCATGCAGGGGGAACCCATAGCTGGAAAGGAGGACTTGCCTGAGGTCACCCAGCAGGAGTTGGGAGGGATCCAAGGCCCCCGACAGACAGAACAGAACAGTCAGGGAGCTCTGCAGACTGGACCTTGGCCCAAGCTGCTCACAGGCCAGATGGGGATTCCAGATGCAGTCCTGGTCTCCCCGGAGAGCAGCAGCCTGGAAATGAGACCGATTCCAACCCAGCTTGTTTCCCATCTTGTGACCGTTACTCTTCTCTAAGCCTCACTGTCTTGGTTTGTAAAACGGGGCTGACCGTCACCTTCTCACCAGGTCCATGGGAAGAGGCAGGGAGTTGATAGGTGTCAGCTGGCCCTGCACAGAGCCTTGCCCTCATGGAGTTCCTGGGAGCCTTAGCACCTGAGTTGTGGGTGACTCGCCAGGTGTATCAACTGAGGCCTAAAGGAGTAATGCCCAGGTTGGGTCAGGGCTGGCCTGGGGACACCAAATACCAGATACACACACAAGTGGTGACAGTGGCAAGAAACAGTTTATTGGTTGAGGTGAGGGGACTGCACCCATGAGTGGTGGGCTCAGACCTCCCCCAGTGACCTAGAAATCCATGTTCTCAACCAGGTCCTGGAGGTAGGCCTTGTATTGGTCTGATGTGAGGGAGAGTGGGTGGCTGTTGGAAATGTGCAGGTCCACGGTGTTCTCCAGCGAGGAGGCACCCCCTGCCCGCGCCAGCTCTAGCAGAGCCCTGAGGCATGTGGGAATAACCTGTCGGATGGGGGAGAAACACGTTCAAGGGAAGCACCCAACATAGTCTGGTAGGAGGTGAGGTTGAGTGGACTGTAACTCCCAACAGCTCCCATCATAACCCAGGGTAAACTTAAGCCCAGGGTTGCTGGGAGTTGTAGTTTTCCCATATTTAAAATCATGGGAGGCCAGAGGAGTTCCCAGAAGCTAGGGCTGAGCACTTGTGTCAGGAGGACTCCTGAGAGCTCTAGTTCCTCACAGGCTGTCAGGACTTGTAGTGCACCAACTCCCACATGTAGTGCACCAACTCTGAGGGTGGGCCATGGGTGGGACACCCAGAAGCTCTGGAGATGAATGGTGGTGCAGCCCTGGCCAGTGTGGCTCAGTTGATAGGAGCAGCATCCCGTATGCCAAAAGGTCTCAGACCAATTCCCAGTCAGGGTGGGTGCTAGAGGTAACCGATTGATGTTTTTCTCTCACATCAATATTTCTCTCTCTCTGCTGCTCGCTCTCTCACTCTCTCTTTCCCTTTCGCTAAAAATCAGTGAAAATGTCCTCAGATTAGGAAAGGATGGTGGTTGCAGACACTTGGAAGTTTTAGTTTCTTGAGGGGCTTCTGGGAATTGTAGTTCCTGGGAGCAACATATTCCCTTTGGAAGATCCACCCCCTCAGTTCCAGGAACCCAGGGCTGCAGGCACCTTGACCATCACTAGCTTCTTGGTCCACGGCTGGTCCTGGGGCCACGTCTCCCCCATACAGAACCAGAGGGTGTAGCGTGGTGAGCGTCCGCTTCCTTCGATGAAGGCGATCAGATCTGGAGGCCCAGGAGCCCAGTCAGGGATGAGAAGACCCCTATCTGCCCCTCCCCCTAAAACCTGAGGCCTATCCTACCTTTTCTCCTGACCTAAAGCCTGATAAACCTCTGCCATCAAAACCAGGGGGCTGCTGATTTACATAAAGTCCCCACAATTCTGGCGCCAACATCAATGTTCCCTTCCCCTCCCACCCATCAGGTAGGGCTGGGAGAGCTGCTCCCACCTCCACAAGAGCCGCGTGCATTCCGGACAGGAAACAGGTCCAGAGGGGAATCCACTTTCCCCAAGGTGGAGAGGCAGCTGACAGTTACTACTTTTTAATTCCTAAGGCCACACTCTCCATATGTAGCCATTAGCCACCATGGCTATTTAAATTGTAACTAGTTAAAATACAAATAAAGTTGAAAGTTCACTTCCTCAGTTGCACTCACAGCATCTGCGTACTCAATAGCAACTGATGGCTGGCGAACACCATACTGGACAAAGAAAGTTCTATTGGCTGGCAAAGCCCTGCGGGATCTCTCTCCCCCTTGTCTATCCATCCACCATAATTGGTAATAATGATGATAATTACAGCAGCTAGTTCCCTGAGCACCTTCAGTACAGTGGGCCCTGTGCCTCCTACCAGCTCCAGCAGGTGGAGGGAGACAGTCCTCAGTCTTGACAGGCTCAGAGCAATCCAGGTTAAACTTCAGACAGAGCAGCAGGATCCCAAAAGGTGTGACCCCAGTGTTTTTAACCACTGGGGCCCACTCTCCACAGCAGAGTAAGGCCTGCCCAACTCACCTGTCACAAATGGCCCCAGGTTGAACACGCCTCTTTCCATGTCCTTGGGGACCTCGCCATCAGGCTTGCGACCAATGTCAGGGAGGAACTCCTCGCCCAAAGCCCAGTATGCATGGCAGGGCCCCAGCCTCTGGGTGCAGAGCCACTGCCCTGTTCTCCACAGAGCTATTCCTCCACCCAGGGATCTCAGTACACGACTCACGTAGTCCCTCACGGCCCTGTCTCTCAGGAACTCCCCAGGGTCTGGCAGTGTTATAGGCTGCCCAGGGAGTGTCCTGTCTCCTTCTGACCCCACCAGCCGCAGGCCCTTCGGGCAGAAGACAGTCTGCTGGAAGACTTGGCGGCCCCGGTAGAAGGCAGTCACTTCGAACTCCCAGTCTGCAGCAGCAATGTGAAGGAAGAGAGACAGAGTATGAAGGGGGCCGTCACCCGAGACCCAGTCCTCCCAGCCCACAGCTGGCACTCACTTTCCTCGGACACCAACAGCCTCAGTGGGTTTTCAGGGGGTTCCGAGTTTGGGTGGGGAGCAAGGGTGTCTAAGTTGGGGCTCTGCAAGTGTTGCGGGGGGTATTGAGGAGACACAGCCAGACTTGAGGCCCCCTCAACTGGATTTGGACCCAAGACCATGTCACTCAGTAACTCCTCCAGAATGTCTTCCTAGAGAGAGAAAGATAAACATTCCAGGCATTTCTACAGCATGTTCTGGAGACTTGCCATGGACCAGGCCTCCTGCTCAGCAATATGGTGACCCAGAGAGGAGACAGTCCTGAGTTGTGTTTCAAGGGGCTTCTAGTCTAGGGGAAGGGCAGCCATGGGCACAGGCATGCTCGGATATATGCTGGGTGCCATGATGGCACTAGGGGAGCAGCTAATTCCAGGTGGAATTTCACAGGGGACTTTACCTGGCACAGACATCAGCAAGATCAAGGTTAGGGAACTTCTGAGTTGCCAAGAGGATGGAAAGCAGGTAAACAGTGGAAGTTGTGTTGGGGCCTTGCATGCTTGGTGAAAACTGAATTTTCTCCCGAGGGAGGGTTCTGGGAAGCCCTGGGAGGGCTGTGAGCAGAAGAGGGATACGGTCAGCTCTGGGTCAGGTAAAGGAGAGAAGGGAGCCCAAGGAGGAGGCTGGGGTGATGGTCCATGGGGAGAAGATGAGGCCTGAACAGGGCCAAGGGGACGCAGAGAGGAGATGGGACAGAGACTGGGGGTGGGGGAGGCAGCAGGAGGGTTGGGTACTTTTTTAATAGTTTTTCTTTATCCATTTTAGAGAGGAAGGGAGGACAGAGATAGAAACATCAATGAGAGAGGACATCGACTGGCCACCCCCTGCATGCTGCCCCCGGGCATCAGGCCCACAACCTGGGCACGTGCCCTGAATGGGAATCAAACCAGCAACCTCTTGGTGCATGGGTTGATGCTCAACCACTGAACCACACCAGCCGGGCATGGGTTGGGCATATTCTTACCTGGGTATCAGAGGTACTGCCTCTGCCATCGGTGTCTGGAGAGTTCTCCAGCTCAGTAAAGTCCCCAGCTCCTGGTGAGAGAGGTGGTAAGCAGAGAAGAGGTGCAGGGCACTCTCAAAATCCCATCCCTCCACGAAAATCCCCACTTTCAACACACCTTGGTTCACAAATTCATAGATCTTGTGTGGATCGTGGGGGTCCTTGCTCCTGTCCTCAGCTAAACGCAACACTTCCTTCCGGTTCAGGGCAGACCTGAAATTCCTCTTCCAGGTTGGCAGGTCAGGCGTATCCCTCCCAGGAATGTAGGCACCACTGGCCTCTGCCCAGGCCTGGGTGGCCAGTGGAATCAGGATAGAAAGGATGATTCAGAATCCGTTCCAGGGGTCAGAACCCTGCCTCCTCTCATCCTAACTTGGACCTCTCTCCCATGGCACACTGCTAACTTGGCAAGGTTTTATTCCCAAACTCTCGGATTCTCTGTGCCCCAAGTACCCCTATCTCCGTCTTTCAAAAATCTTTTCCTTTCTAAGCCAAACTTCCATGTCCTGCTGAGTGACTAACTCTTCAACCAACCTGTTGCAGGACACCCTCTGTAATAAACCTGCTCCCTCCCACACTAACTCAGTTGACCACCACTAGGGTATCCTAATTTGGTGTTAAGTAACCTTAGCTTCAGGCAATCTGATCGTTCATGTTCCAAGACCCGCCTCCAGAATTCTACATCCAAAAGCCCCACCCTCAGTGAGCCCTGAACCCCTAGGTGTATTTTCTTTACAGTCTAACCCGATTTTCTGGTTCTATTCCGGGAACCTGGCCCCTCCAATCCTGCCAGCTATCCAAAGTCTGTAAACTATCCTAATCCTACCCCATCTCATTCTAACTCCACCGCTCAGAATCCACCCAATCCCATGGCAGCTTCGGTTTCCTGAATCCCAGATCCCACGCACCTGAAAGATGCTGAAGTCCTCCTGCTGGGCATCCTGCCGCAAACCGTGCTTCCAGGGTATGCGGAAGCGCCTGTGGCTCGGGTCCAGCCAAGCCACACCCTCCAGGTGCCCCTGGTTCAGCTGGGACACCAGCCAAGGCAGGATCCGTGGCTTTTGGGTTCCCATGGTCGGGCCTGCCAACAATGGGCAGTTCACGGGCGCAGGCGGTCTGAGAGTTCCACAACCAGACCATCCTCTCACGGGACCACGGCACAGGTCCCTCATCTGTTTTCTTGGGGTACAAACAGACCTCCTCCCATCCTCTAGATAGGTTCCCCAATTTAGCGAGGACTCCCTCCCAAACCCATTTTCGACTCCCTCCGTCTCCCCAGCTTTTGTGCAAACCCTTCTTCCCCCTCAATTCCGCCAGCAAGAGACCCTTCCCTCTTGCACTGTACATCCCTACCTCCTCATTACCCAACGCAGGCACTCCCACTTCCAAGGTGGAATCTAAAGCAGACAATACTCTCGTGTAGACGTCTACTTCCTGCACCTACCCCAGTGTAGACCCCCTTCCACAGACTCCCACATAAGTAAGATCCCCTTATCCATTTCCACCGTAGACCTCCATCCATAATTCCCGCCAAACAGCCTCCCTCGTCCAGGGCACGCTCCCCACTTCCGAGAGTGGACTGCCTCCCACCTGCTGTCCACCCTCCCCTTTCGCCGCCACGCTACTAGTTCTAAGAGTTGCTTTGGCACCGGCCACTGCTTCACTTATCTCCCTCCTTGCTCCCCTCTCCCCAAGGTACACAGCCTCACTCTCCACTATCACGGCAGACTCTTCCTTCTCGGTTCCTCACGCCTGGTCGCCACCAACTCCCCAGCTCTTCCGTGTTACCTACCTAGAAAGACGGGGCGTGCAAGGTGCTGGGGCCCACCCTTGACTTTGGGGGTCCAGTCGCTCTCGAACTCGCAGCTGCACACCCCGTCCTCACTTCCCGTCAGCTGAACTGTAGGGCGGTGGAGCTTTGTTTTATACCGATTTCTTGCAACAAAACTACTTGATCCACGTTTGAGAAACAAACTCCAAAGAAGCCACACCCAAAGCCCGAACGTCCCTCCTCCCTACGCCCTTTTTAAGCCTTCCGGCCGCCCGCACGCTGGGAACGTCGCATGTAAATTAGGCGGGCACCCGGCGCTCCGCCCCCTCTACGTTCGGGCCGTCACCAACCCGGTCCAGTGCGCAGGCGCGGGAAAGTTGAACTATTAGAAGTTGATAGAAGTTCAGTGAAGGAGGCGGCGGCGGGGCCCGGGGCCAGGTGAGTGGGGCGTTAGTGAGGGCTGGGGTGAGAGGGGAAGAGAAGAGGGCCGGCGTCGAGGAGCTGGAACCCGAGTCCCGCTTCTTCGACATTCAAACGTCGCGGGTCTCCCCAAGATGCCAGTTTTAGCTAGTGAAACTACACCTCCCAGCAGGCTGCGCGGCGGTCGGTTGCGGACCTAGTGGACTGTTTGCCTTGAAGCCTGCTGGGATTGGTAGTTTCCATCCTCTAACGGCTTAAATAGTTTGGCGTATCCTCTCAGAATCCGGAAATCGAAACCTCAAGCCTCCTCCTCCCTCAGGAACCCAGAGGTCTGAGGCACAAATCCTTTCTTTCTCAGATTCAAAAGTTCAAACCCCCTTCCCCCTTTTCCCTTAGACCCAAGAATCCGGGTCTCCAGCCGCCTCATCTGCCAGGATCAAGGAGGCTTCGTCCTCATCCCTCTTCTCCCTCTGAGGACTCATGAGTCTGAACCTCCAGACCTCACGTCCCCTAACGCACCTAGGAGTTCGGCCCTTCAGCCCCTTCCTCCCTTGGGGACTTCCGAGTCCTTGCCCCTCCTCATTCACGGACCAGGAATTGGGGCCCCAAGCATTCACTTCCCGCTGAACCCTGGAGTTTATCCCTCAGCCCCTTTACAGGTGCCCCCATGGCAGGCTCGGAAGAGCTGGGGCTCCGGGAGGACACGCTGAAGGTCTTAGCTGCCTTCCTTAGGCGGGGTGAGGCTGCCGGGTCCCCCGTTACTGTCCCACCCAGGTAAGAGGAGTTGCCCTCCTCCCTCAGGGGCCTCTGCATGTGGTGTGGGCCATCTCTAACTCTTGCTCCTGGACTTAGTCTGTGCCCTTTCCCCTCTCTTTATATCTGGCTCTATTCCTTGTCCCTGGGGTTGCAGCCCTGCCCAGGAGGAGCCGACAGACTTGCTGAGCCGCGTTCGAAGATGTTTTCCTTGCTCCTTGGGTCGAGGCCCTGAGTCCCCTCGGCCTTGCTCCCTGCCCATTCGCCCCTGCTATGGTTCACAGCCTGGTAAGAGATTTCCCTAGATCACCCGTGAACTTGCAGGGTCAGGAGCTTTGAATCTAAAGCATAGACAGGATAAGGAACTAGTTCAAGATCGCTCAGCTAAGGGTGTGGTGTCTCCAGCATCTGTCCTCACCATTTTGCACCCTATGCCATCCCAGTTAGATTGCTGTTTGTCAATTCTGTGGTCCCTTTCTATTTGTTATCTCTCTCCTGTACAATAGGGAGACGAGGTTTTTAATCACAACCCCTTCTCTATTTGGTTACATGACTCAGAAAATCCTTTTCTTCCCTGCTCCTGTTTCTACAGTAGCAAAGTAGGAATAGGTGGGTCATTGGGTTTGATCAAGAGTGACCAACATCCCTGGCTAGTTTGCTCAGTGGTTAGAGTATCTGCCCTCGGACCAAAGGTCAAGGTCATGTACCTGAGTTGCAGGTTCATCCCAGGCCCTGGTCTGGGCCTGTGTGGGAGGCAACTAATTGATGATGTCTCTCTCACATCGATGTTTTTCTCCACTCTCTCTAAAAATCAATGGGAAAATGTCCTCAGGTGAGGATTAAAAAAAAGTGATCAACAGCTTTCCGCTCATATGTGAGCCTAGATAGATTAGTAATGGCTACTTGGGGTGCTAGCTTGCAAGGGGTTCCTAGCTAGAGAGAAGGGCTCTGTGATCTGTTGATGATGCCTGAAATGGACAAGGAATAAAGTAACTGCTGGATTGTCCTGTGTTTGCCTTCCTTGAATGGGGCATCCTCTTCAAGGTTCAGTTCAGCTCTAACACGCTAAGTCCATTCTGGGGGACACCATAAAGGAAAGTATAAAGGTCTTTTGCCAAGTTTGCTCACTGGGCCTCAATTTACCCCATTATGAAATGGAAATCACGGCTACTTGGTGAGGTAGTTGCTAGGACAGAATCCATAACTTCTTGATGTTCTGGAGACCTATCCATGTCTCTTTTCACCCCAGATCCAGCTACTCCAGACTTCTATGCCCTGGTGGCCCAGCGGCTGGAACAGCTGGTCCAAGAGCAACTGAAATCCCCACCTAGTCCAGGTGAGGTGCAGAGGGGCCCTAGAGGATGAGGGTAGAGGGGTCGCCAGAGTTCTGCCCCCAGCTGAATTCTCTTCTGCCCCACTTAGAGTTACAGGGTCCCCCACGCACAGAAAAGGAAGCCCTGCTGCGGAGGCTGGTGGCCTTGTTGGAGGAGGAGGCAGAAGTCATCAACCAGAAGGTGATGGTCAGTCTATTCCTTCTCTTAGCTAGAATAGGAATTGCTTAATGACTGGGCACTGGGATCAGAAGCTGAGTCTGTATTCTCATTGGATGGTTAGTAGGGAGGGTGAGACAAGGCTTTAATGAAAGGTTGAGTGACCCAGGTGTGGCAGTACCTGGAGGCTTGCATTGTGCATTAGAGGGGCGTGGCCTAGATGCAGGGGGTGTGGCCATCAGAAACATGATCTAGATAAGAGATTGGGACCAGCTGAGGAAGTAAGAATGTATGGTGGTGGAACAGGGGTGAAGTTTGGAGGAGACTAAAATCTGAAGCCCTGATGATTATATAGGGGCATGGTTTAGAATGTGGAGGAAATGGACTGCTGGTTTGTGACTCTTGGAATATGATTGGCTTGGCATAGGAGTTTGGGTAAAGTGTGTGGTCCTGTTGTATTAATTGTATGTTGAAGGCAAAGTGGTTGTAGACACTGGCATGGTCTGCTGGGCTGTCAGGGAACCCCACTGTGGGTGTGGCTAGAAGGTTAGCATTCTAGAACTCAGTTAAAGTAGGGCTGCAGCCCTTATTAGCTGTGGAGGACTGTGCATGGGCGTGGTTTAGCTTCTTTGGTTCTAGGCCACCTTCCTGCAAGTAATTTGGCAGAAACCAGGAGTCTGGTTTATTATTGGGTGATATGATGGACAGGAGCATGGCTTAGAGTTTTAGTATCTAGAAGTCCCATGCACCAGAGAACCACACCTCCCTGTCTCTTCCCTGTTTACCCCACAGCTGGCATCCGACCCTGCCCTGCATCGCACGCTGGCCCGCCTCTCCTCTGGCTCCTTCGCCCGACTAGTGGAGCTGTTCTCCAGCCGGGAGGGCAGCCCTCGCCCCAGCTGTGCACGCCCCAACTTGCCGTGCCCTGGGCCCCCACCACCTTCCCCAGAGCCCCTGGCCCGCCTGGCCCTGGCCATGGAGCTGAGTCGGCGAGTTGCCGGGCTGGGGGGCACCCTGGCTAGACTCAGCATAGAGCACGTGCACAGCTTCACGCCCTGGATCCAGGCCCATGGGGGCTGGGTGAGCCGCCCCAGCCTCTCTGGGTCTCGCTTTACCTAACTGTAATTGGGGGGAGGAGGCTTTTTTAGGTTTCTATTCAGACATCATAGGTGTTCTCCCCTCCCTCCTAGTCACCTGTTCTGTGTTAATTGAGCACCTACTGTACAGGCACTGTGGTGATCAGTGGGTTATTGTGAGTATTAAGTGGGATCATCCTTGTAAGTACTTGGCATTCTGTGGGCATTTGTTTGCGTGATTATATGGTAGTCTGCCTGGGCAACTCTGCCTGCTAAGACACCCTTGCCTGGGTATCCTCCTGCCCGGGTATTATCCCCAGGGAGGCCTTCCTGGTCCCCATTTAAAACTGCAGCCACCCCACACCCTCCCACCTATTCCCCCTCTCTCTTGGCTGCCTTCCTTCCTTCCATAGCACTCTGCACCTTTTAACAGATGGCAGAAATGACTAGTTTTATTTCTGTCGTCTTCTCCCGCCCCTGATACCTCAGCTTCCGAAGCCCAGGGAGTCTTACCTTGATGCTCCCGGCTCTCAATGCAGTGCCAGGCTCAGAGCTGCGCTGGGCTTCAGTGTTTTGGTGGTGTAACCTGGGCTACGGCCCCACCTCCCTGAGCACTGGTCTGCCCCCTCCCAATGGGCGCCACCTCACTTGCCTTGTTGTGGTGATGCAGTCCCAGAAGGGTGCCCGCCAAGACCAAGGAAGGTAACCAGGCCCAGGGAGTGGAACTGTTGCTTCACAGACTGGGAAGAGCTGGCCTGGTGTGTGTGAGGAGCAGGGGGGGGGGGGGGGCTGGAGCGGGGTGAGTGAGGTGAGAGGGCCAGAGTTGACAGCAGGAGGGTTGTTCAGGGCCTTGTAGTCATGCTGAGAATTTAGAGTTTGATTCTGAGTGAGCCCAGAATCCCTGGAGGGCTCTGAGTAGAGGACAAGAAGCTACTTAGGTGTTCACACGCGCCCCCTGGTGGCGGCGTGGGGAACACTGTATGGGAAGAGGGCAGAATAGGTAGCTTGGAGAGGGGGACTCTGCTGGTCCAGGGGGGAGATGAGGGTGGATCAGACCAGTATGGGAGTAGTGAAGGAGTCCGCATTTAATTTGGAGATAGAGATTACAGATTTTGCTAATGGAGTGGATTTGGGGACTGAGCGGCAGGCAGGAGTCGAGGATGCTGGCCTGGGCAGCTGCTGGGCTACATCTAATATTCCCCAAGATGGGAAGAGACGGGGACAAGCGGGTGGAGGGGAAGGGAAGGAGCAGGTTTGAGGAAGAGTCAGAGATGGTTGAAAGTGGTCCAGTTAAGCAAGAGATGCCCTCTGACCTCAGAGCAAGATGGTGAGGGCATAGGGGATATAAGTGTCTGGAGCTCCACCCAGAAGCTTGTTGATTCATAAAATTATAAAATTATTTTTATTTTTAAGGAATTATAACAGGTAAGTTTGGCCAGGTATTCACCAAGGATTTCAGTGGGATGATCCCATTTAAGCCTCACAATAACCTTATGGGATTCAGTTATTATCCTGGTCTTAGGAAGGCTGAGAGGGAAAGTCCCTCGTGCGGGGGATGAGAATCAACACTTTGACACAAAGCCAGGGCTCTGAATCTTTAAAACCCCAGCACTCTGTCTGCCTCTCCCTGGTGCTCTGTCTCTATCCACCCTCCTCTAGTGCTCTGCCCACCACCCAGGTTCTGGCTTTCCCTCTTCTCTCTAGGACTCTGTCCCCACCCACCCCTGGTGTCTGATCCCCTGTCCGGGTCTGTGTTCCTCTCACCCTGGGTTTCTCTCTCCCCCTCTCCGGTCTCTGCCTCCTTTGTCTCAGCTCTCACTGGGCTGGTGTGGATGCTGCTGTGACTGGAGGGAGCCTCTGCTTATGAGGCTCTGCCGCTTCTCCCTCCAGGAGGGCATCCTGGCCGGCTCACCTGTGGACTTGAACTTACCCCTGGACTGAGAGCTTCTTCAGCAGCTGCTACAAGATTGGACCTCAGGTGCCTGGACTGTGTGTGCTTCTCAAGCCTTCCTGTTCTACTCAGGGCTGTTGGGGTGGGGGCGGGGGGGGGCTGCCCACCCTGGTTTTGCCAAAAAAAGAAATCGTTTCAATTTTTTTCATATTAAAAACTTGTTCAAATATTTAATTATTTGTTCTTTCATTCGCGAACTAAAGTTCTAAGTAGGGGAAATTGGGTTCAGAGATCTCTCTGGTTTATAAATTGAGGCAAGAGCCAATCCATTCATTCGAGACATGCTTATTTGGAGCATTTAAGAGTACCTGTTGCGCCCTGGCCGGTTTCGCTCAGCGGTTAGAGTGTCGGCCTGCGGTCCAGAGAGACCCAGGTTCAGTTCCTGCTAAGGGCACGTACCTCGGTTGCAGTTTGTCCCCAGCCCTGGTTGGTCGTGCAGGTGGCAGCCACTCGATGTGTCCCTTTCACGTCGATGTGTTTCTCTCTCTCTCTCTCCCTCCCACTCTATCTGAACAAAAAATGAAAATAAAAAATAAAGAGTACCTGTTAGCTGAACATGCAGCATGTTTGAGGGTATCTGTAAATACGATTCTAGCTAATTACATTTTCCCTGTTGCATAGTTTATTCCAGTTCCCCCTTGTTGATGCTTGTGGGGTCTTTCCAGCTAGTTCTAGAAGAAAGCTGTCCTCTTCCTTCACGGGACACCCAGACCACCACCCTCTTCTAATTTTTCTCCTACCACTGCTCCTTCTGGGCCTTTTTGCTGGTCCTCCTCATCTCCCTGGGCACTCGGGGTTTGTTACCTTTTTAGGGTGATAGCCTGTCTCACAGAATGATATTTGTAAACACACACAACGAAATGTACAGGATTATAAGGGGAACAAATTATAGTCGATCCTTGTTAATTTGCACATTCTGTATTTGTGAATTTGCCTTTGCACTAAATTGTATGTGTAATTGTCAAATCCTTACTCATGGTAGTTTGGTGGTTGTGGGCATGAGTGTGGGCAGAGCTGTACAAGATTGGACTCACCCACTGTGCACCTTCTGGGCTCAGGCCACAGTCTGCCGTCTGTTGTCAGCTCTCAGGCTGTGACTATGTGTCCTGTCCACAATCTCTGTAGGGCCCCATGTCTTCTCTGCATTTTTGTGCTTTTTTGGTGGTAATTTTGCTGGGGTTTTTTTTGGTATGTGCCCCTAGCGGGAACTGAACCCGGGACTCCCTGGCCCGCAGACCTGCGCTCCAACCACTGAGCCAAACCACCCAGGGCAATTTTGCCGTTTAAAAAGGCCCCGAACATGGCACTGCATTGCTGTCTAGGGTTTCTGAATGCAGGAACGCTCTCGTGTGCCTGGTTAGAGGAGCTTCGTTCAGGCGTGAGTTATTGTGCTCTTGACTGTGAGTTCACTGGGAATGAATTAACAATATTTATTAAAGAAGGTATCTAGGCCCCGGCCAGGTAGCTCAGTTGGTTAGAGCATCATCCCTATACGCCAAGGTTGCAGGTTTGATTCCTGCATACATACAAGACATATACAAGAATCAACCAATGAATGCATACATAAGTGGAACAACAAATCAATGTTCCTGTCTGTCTCTTTCAAAAATCAATAAAAATAAATAATATAAAGGTGTCTAAACAGAAAACACACATAAAATAAGGTTAGTATGGGTGGGTTGACAAACATGTTGTGAGGCTCATGGGAACCTGACCCTGCATTTCCCCAAGAACAATGGCCCAGTATTTGCTGAGTCAGATGGTATTCACACTTCCTTCATAGAACAGATCTCCCACAGGTAATAAGAATCCACTGTAGCCCTGGCCAGTTTGGCTCAGCGGTTAGAGTGTCGGCCTGCGGTCCGGAGAGGCCCGGGTTCGGTTCCCGCTAAGGGCACGTACTTCAGTTGCAGTTTGTCCCCGGCCCTGGTTGGTCGTGCGGGTGGCAGCCACTCGATGTGTCCCTTCACGTCGATGTTTCTCTCTCTCTCCCTCCCACTCTATCTGTACAAAAAATGGAAAAATATCCTCGGGTGAGGAAAAAAAAAAAAAGAATCGACTGTAGATTGAAATAAGGCTTTCAGATGTATTAGTTATTGCCATTTTGTTGGGTAACACATCACAAATATAGCGGCTTACAATACCCATTTATTAATCACACTTTCTGTGGGTCAGGGATGTGGGTGCAGCTTAGCTGGGTGCTCTGCTCAGGGTCTCGTCTGGCTGCAGTCAAGTTCTCAGCTTCCATGTCATCTGAGGCTCAGGGTCCGCTTCGAGCCCAGTTGGTTTTTAGCAGAATTCATGTCTTTGTGGCTGTGGGACTCACAGCAGTAGACCAGCAGGAAAATCACTGTGACCTCAGAAGGTCTTAACCCCCTTTTAAAGGGCTCCCATCTGATTAAATCAGGCCCACCCCGGACAATCCCCTGCCCCCACCTTTTAACATGTTTTTATTGATTTTCTAGAGAGAGAAAGGGAGAGATGGAAACCTCTATGTGAGAGGGAAACATGGATCAGCTGCCTCCTGCACGCCCCCTACTGGGAATCGAGTCAACAACCCGGTTATGTGCCCAAACTTGGAATCAACCTGGGACCTCTCAGTCTGTGGGACCATGCTCAGTCCACTGAGCCACACAAGCTAGGCTTTGATTAATTTAAAGTTAACTGTTTTGGCCCTGGCTGGTGTGGCTCAGAGGTTAGAGTGTTGGCCCATGGATCAGAGACGTTGCAGGTTCAATTTGGTCGAGGGCACATACCTCTGTTGCAGTTTGGTCCCCAGCCCTGGTCAGGGTCCTGTGGGAGGCAACCAATCCCAACCCATGTGTCTCTCTCACATCGATGTCTCTCCCTCTCTCCTTCCCATTCTATCTGAAGATAAATGGAAAAATATCCTCGGGTAAGGATTTTAAACAAATAAAGTTAACTGGTTTGAGGCTTAAAGACATTTGCAAAATCAATTCACCCCCGACATATAAGGTAACCTAATCAAGGCAGTGACATTCATTTTCTTTGTCAGATAACCCAACCTACTCCTTGGTATATAAAAGTAAGGGGCAGAGATCTTGGCCACCTTAGAATTCTGCCCACCACATGGGTATCTATAACAACTGTCATGTGACATGCAGGCATCTGCGATTTATGTTGGGGACCAGGCTACAGGAGCTAATTCTAGGATCTTTTTTTTTTATCCTCATCCGAGGACATTTTTTGTTCAGGTACAGTGGGAGGGAGAGAGAGGAAGAGAGAGAGAGAGAGAGAGAGAAACATCGATGTGAAAGGGACACATCGAGTGGCTGCCACCCGCACGACTGACCAGGGCCGGGGACAAACTGCAACCAAGGTACATGCCCTTAGCGGGAACCGAACCCGGGTCTCTCAGGACCGCAGGCTGATGCTCTAACCGCTGAGCCAAACCGGCCAGGGCTAATTCTAGGATCTTTGAAATATATTCTAGGATCTTTGAAGTATACTAAATTCTTCATTGAAGGAATGCCAAGTTCCCTTTTGGTCAGAGATGAAGTTTCTACCATCCCAGGCCATGAATTTTCATGTTGGGAACACTGCCAGATTAGTCTGTGTGCTTCTTCTAACCCCACTTCTAATCACACCAACCCCTCAGTGGTCTCGTCCATTTCAAGGGCGGTGATCCAGTACAGCACTGGCCAACAGAACTAAAGGAGCCACATATGTGATTTAGAACCCCACTAAAGCAACAGAAAAAGGAATGCATCACTTTTTTTTTTTAATCTTCACCCAAGGACTTTTTCTTTTTTTTGCATTTATCTTCAGATAGAGCAGGAGGGAGAAAGGGAGGAAGAGAGAGAAAGAAACATCGACAGGAGAGAGACACATTGAGTGGCTGCCACACGACCTCAACTGGGGCTGGGGACAAACTGCAACGGAGGTACGCGCCCTTAGTGGGAACGGAACCCGGGACTCTCCGGTTCGCTGGCTGACGCTCTAACCCGGTGGTTCTCAACCTTCCTAATGCCGCGACCCTTTAATACAGTTCCTCATGTTGTGGTGACCCCCCAACCATGAAGTTATTTTCGTTGCTATTTCATAATTATAATTTTGCTACTGTTATGAATCACCATCGGAAATGTGTTTTCCGATGGTCCTAGGCGACCCCTGTGAAAGGGTCGTTCGAGCCCCACAGAGGTCGTGACCCACAGATTGAGAACTGCTGCTCTAACCGCTGAGCCAAACCGGCCAAGGTGCATCAATTTTAAGTCATTTTTATTAACCCTGTTTGTTCAAAATATAGAATCATTTCAACATGTAATCAATATAAAAATATTAATGAGGTATTACAGATTCTTTTTAAATATTTAAGTCCTCTGAATCTGATGTGTGTTTATTGATTTATTATTATTTATTATTATTATTTTTTAACTGTTACCCAAGGACATGCTTAGAGAGAGAGAGAGAGAGAAACATTGATTGGGCTGCCTTCCATATGCTCCCGGGCCAGGGAGATCAAACCCACAACAGGCATGTATCTCTAACTGGGAATCAAACCAGCAACCTGTCAGCACATGGGACAAAACTCAACTGAGCTACCCGGCCAGGGCAGCTGTTTTTTACACTCATAGTACATCAATTCAGACTTGCCACAGTCCATTACTCAACTGCCCCATGTGGCGAGTGGTGATATCCTAGAAAGTGCAGAATTTGATGCTGACAACTTACCGGTTTCTGACTCCAGCCTGAGACTTTGCCCCTGAACTCTATACTCCTGCGTACCCCTGTGCAGTGCCATTAGGTTATTCCCTAGTGCTCCATAAATAGTTTATTTTTTATGTTCTTAGTAGCAGCACGGAGCAGAAGTAATTGATCAGGTTAAAATACAGTACTTGGGTCCAGCTGGTGTGGCTCAGTGGTTGAGTGTTGACCCACATACCAGGAGGTCGCCAGTTCAATTCCTGGTCAGGGCATATGCCCAGGTTATGGGCCTGATCCACAGTAGTGGGCATGCAGGGCATGACCAATGTTTCTATCTCTCTCTTGCTCTCCCTTCCTCTCTTTCAAAATCAATAAAGAAAGTGCTTGGACTCTGGCCAGTTT